TACTTTAAGCAATAAAACAATTAAAAAAAGAAAAAGAAAAGAAAGGTCCCTGGTCAGAGACAAATGGTAGGGGCGGGGCAGTTAGAGAGCAATCAAAGGACTTGTATGCATGCATATTAGCATATCCAATGGACATAGGCACTGGAGCGGTGGGGTGGGAATGGCTGTGGGGGGGTGGGTTGGAAGGGTCAATTAGGGAAAAAGAAGACATATGTAAAACTTTAGACAATAATAAAAAATAAATAAAAACAAATTAGGAAGATATAAAAAAAAAAAAAAAAGAAAGGTCGCTCGCTGGTTAGATTTCCAGTCAGGGCACATACCCAGGTTTTGGGTTCAATCCCTGCTTGGGTACAAAGGAGAGGCAATCGATTAATGTTTCTCTCTCGCATTGATTTTTTTTTCTCTCCCTCTCTCCCTCCCTCTCTCTCTAAAATCAATTAAAAAAAAAGAAATAATACTAGAAGACTAACGAAGTAATCAAGTGGTAACAGTGTGGCCTCTGGGCTGGGGAACTGCATAGCTGGGGAAAAGGAAGGAGAGGGAGTCCTAGATTTTTTCACTATAAATTGTTTTAAGTGCATGTGTACTATATGTTTCTATCTTGAGAAATGAGTTATTTTAAGTATTTATTTTTATATATACTTTTATTGATTTCAGAGAGGAAGGGAGAGGGAGAGAGAGAGAGAATCATTGATTGGCTGCCTCCTGCACACCCCCTACTGGGGATGGAGCCCATAACCCAGGCATGTGCCCTTGACCGGAATCAAACCTGGGATCCTTCAGTCAGCAGGCCGACGCTCTGTCCAGTGAGTCTAACCGACTAGGATGGAATGAGTAATTTTAAAACTAAATTAGTAGCATGCCAGGCTCTACCTTGCTTATAAATTGTGCATTGGCTCCTCACAGCCTTCAGGATAAAGTCCAAACTCCTGGTTTTCACATATATGTGAGTCACATTATGCTCCTTTGTATTCAAGAACCTGCACAGATTGGCCTCTCCAGTGACCTCCCCAGCTGAGAGATCCAGCTGAGCAGAACTAAATGCAGAAGTGCATGGCCTCTGCCTCTGCCTTCCTCCCTATTGCATTCTACTCATCTTTCAAAACAGCCCAGAAGTTCTAAGAAGCTTGTCCTAAGCTCCCCTTCTTTGCTCTTCTGCCAAACTTGCATTGTACCCTCAGCATGTTTCTGGCAAAATACTGTGCCAATCTGCCATGGCCAGGTGGCTCAGTTGGTTGGAGCGTCGACCCATACACCAACAAGTTGCAGATTCAATTCCTGGTCAGGGCACATACCTAGGTTGCAGGTTTGATCCTCAATTGGGGTGCATATGAGAGGCACTGATGGATGTTTCTCCCTCACATCTCTATTTCTCTCTCTCTCTCTCCCCCTCTCCCCCTCTCTCTCTCTCTCACTCTCTCTCACTCTCTCTCTCTCTCAATCAATAAAAACATATCCTTGGATGAAGATTGACAAAACAGCTGTGCCAGTCCTATTGGGATTGTTTGCATGTTCATCTCCCTCACAACATGTGAGCTCCTTGAGAACAGAGGCTGTATCCCATTGCAGGGGCCTAGCAGAAGGCAAGGGGCACAGTGGTGTCTTGGTAATATTTTTTGAGTGAATGAAGACACAAACAAATTGCGATTCTTGACTTATTATACACATGTACAACACACATAAACACTAAGTTCTGGCAACCAGCTGAAGATGATAGTCTGCAGAATCAGTTTTTTAGAGAGGATTAGAAGTTAAAATTTCAGAATTTAGGGAAAGCTGTCTCCTCTCTGACTGGCTGAGTTGAGCAGTCCTGAGGGCATGGTTATATTTCACCTCTTCCTACCTTACAGCCTTGGTTTATATGGTTCATACTGGCAAAGCCACCTCTGGCAAGGGGGTCCCAGAGCACTCACCTGGTGTTTAAAGGGCTCTGAGGGAGCAAATGATCAGTATTGTAGGTGGGTGCCAGGCAGTGTGCCAAGGCACTTCATAAGCATATCTCACTTAATCCAGTGAAGTGGGCACTGTTAATAGCTTCATTTTATAGCTAAGCATACTGAAGCTTGCAGACTTTAGGAAATCAATGCGTTTGCAACTATTGAGTAGTGGAGGCAGAACTTGAACCCAGGCTGGCTCCAGAATCTGGGACCCTAGCCTCTGATTGGGGAACCTGTTCCCTAGCATTTTCTTTTTATCCCACAGGTGCCAAGCAGTAGGAGGAGTGTCCTTTGCATGTAGTGGCCTGATCCTCACCACACATCTGTGAGGTCCTGATGAGCTCTGAGTCCCTTTTCCTGCTGCAGGCTTGATCCCTGGTGGTCAGAGGCCTTGAAAATCGATGGTGTCAAAGGTGGTATAGTAGGTTAACGGAGGGTTAGATTTCTCATGAGGTCAGAAGATTGGTTCCAGATCTGCTGCTATGTAAATGAAGTGTGGGGGTTGCTGGAAGCCTGAGACTAGCTTTTCCTTGAGCCAGCTCAGCTGGTACAGGAAAGAGAGAATCCTGACATTTTGAGTCTTTTACACCCTCATGGCCTCATCCCTTCATCACAGCCCCAGGCCTGAAGGCTTCACCACATTAATTGCCCAGGTAAAGGGTACTTACTTATAACTGTAATGTAAAGACTTTGAGCGGGACAGTAATTATGTCAACTGGCTGGCCATTTATCAACTATGTTAATGCCAAGCACCCAGCCAGGCGCTTTACATACAAAATTTAGTGAGGAGAGTGCTCGGATCCCACTCACATAGATGAAGACACTGAGGCTGTCAGGGAAGCAAATTGCCTAAGGCACACAGCCGGCTAGTAAGTGACAGGGCAGGATCTGAACACAGGTTTCCCTTTATATTTGTGCACTCATTTAATGAGTGTCTTTTATGTGCTGTTTCTGTGTGCTTGGGAGATCAGTGAACAAAATAGATAAAAATTCCTGCTCTTATGGAGCTTACATCCTAGTAATACTAAGATGCAGTCAGTGCATATTATGCTATATGTTATAATTAGGCATATCATATTCAAAGACAGAGATGTTGATAAAAGCCATGAAAAAGAACAAAGTAAGGGAGATTAGGAGTGCTGTGGGCTTGGCAGAGGGAGCAGTTTGCAATAGAGCCTTGTTGAGAAGGTAATAGTTGAGGAAAGATTGGAAGGATACAGGAGGTGAGGGAGCTAGCCATGCAGACCTGGGGAATAGTGTTCTAGGCATAGGGAACAACTAGTGTGAAGGCAGCTTAATTCCAAGGTGCCTTCCCTTACATCCAGTGCCTCAAAACATAAATGCATGTGAGAAGACTCCTCAAGGAAGGAAACGCTTGAAAATAGATTGTAGGCCAACCAGAGTGAGAGAGGTCTGAACCAGTCCACATAAGACAGCTTGGGGATGGAGACTGATTTCTGGGTCCTCGTTAGAAAACAGGCCTTCTTGCCCACGTCCTGAAGAAAAAAGAAGTTAAAGTAACTGAAGAGGCAAGGTCACCCCACTTTTACACCCTCGATTAAACTCCGTTGGCTGTTGCACACCTCTGCTGTGGCCTTGGTCTCTGTTTCCGAGGGCATCTGTGATATGCATGGCCTAGTGCTGGCCCCTTGGGACCTCCCAGTAGTCAGCTTAGATGTGCCCAAGCTCTGTGTTTTCTGTCTGGGCTCTGCACTTGTCCTGCTTCAATTGTTCATCATTCGATTCCAGGAAAGATGGACCTTCTCATGCTTGCCTCAGTGCTGAAGTGCCCCTTGATGGAGCACTTGCCTAAGTTGGGGAAGCCTGTTTTCTAACTTTCCATGGAGGGGAGAGCCAGAATAAATCAATACGAGAGCTTGTAAGCTGACCAGTTATTCGTTGTGCTACCCAGTATTGTGCACTGGGCTTCCTAAGGATCAGTTCCGGTCAGGCGCTTACTGAGGCTGCTCTGTGCCAACCCTGTGTTCTGAGAAAACTGACACCCTGATCTCAAGCAGTACACAGACTGCCTCAGAGATAGACAATTTCGTTATGTTTTGCAAGTGTCCACCCTTTCCTTTCCCTCCCCCCCTCCCCATCCCAAATGTAGGATGGGAGCAGGTAGGTACTTCACCCTCTACGTGGTCCCCCCAGGGAAGTTGTGTGGACCCCCTCCTATTGGTTTGCTGTGATGGTCTTACTTTCCCTGGTTCTCAGCCCGCTGCTTGGGCCTTGGAATACTTCATTTTGGTAACTATTTTAGAACTATTTATGCTCAAGCTTGTGGTTTTCCCTTGGACCAATTTTGGCATTAGACTTCTGGCTTTTACCTGATGACCAATAAGAGAGATGGGATACTCCCAATTCCTGACAAAAGTGCAATGATAGAGGTCTGCACAGGATTTAGAAGAGAGATTCTGACCAGCTTAGGTGGTCCTGTCAGCTTCCTGGAGAAGGGGATGTCTGCATTGTTTTGATGCGGCAACCAGGAAGGCCTTTGGTCTGAACACGTGGTCCAGCCTTAGTAAGAAGACCAGTGGTGCCCTTGTGCAAATAGTCCTTGCCTGCAGATCTTCCTGCTCTCTTCACTGATTGGTTGCTAAAAAGGAGATTGAGGTTTTCATCTCTGGCATGTAAGGGGGTTGGAAGTCAACACTCCCATCCCCATAAGAAAAAAGCTGGATGAATTAAACATCAGTTACTCTTCTTAGATCCATTAGAAATCATAGGGCAAACTGCTGCCTGCAGAATTAGCGAGATAGGTGGGTACAGAGAATCACAACTCACCCAAGAGCAAGATCTCAGGAAATGAACCTATTGATAGAGCCAGTATGAGGGTAAGATAATTTAAACTAATTGATGAATTGGGGGAGGCTTTGTGTAGACAAGCTAGAGAGTTAAAAATTTCTGGGTGGGGCAGTCTTAGGGAGGAGCCCAATAGTTAATGTGGATTTTATCTCCAAGAGCCCCACCAAGTCCCCACAGTAAAGAATGAGGAAAAATCCCCTTGTGCTTCTAGCAAGAGGAATGGAAGGAATAGCTATTTTGAACATACAGCTTTATCTATGATTATCCTATCCTGAACCTGAATTTCTGTTGCAAAAACTTAATATACGGATCTAGCTTCTGAAATAGACCATTATAAGGACAATGTAATTTTTTTTAATCCTCCGGATTTTTTAATTCAACCAGATGGATGAATACACACACACACACACACACACACACACACACACACACACATACATATATATATATATATAAATTGATTTCAGAGAGGAAGGGCGAGGGGGAGAGAGAGAGAAACATCAATGATGAGAGAATCATTGAACAGCTGCCTCCTGCACGCCCCTACTGGGGATCGAGCCCACAACCCCGGGCACGTGCCCTTGACTGGAATCAAACCTGGGACCCTTCAGTCCACAGGCTGATGCTCTGTCCACGGAGCAAACCAGTTAGGGCTGAGGATATTTTCCCATTGCTTTTAGATAAGAATGGAAGGGGGAAAGGGAGAGAGAGAGATAAAAAAGCATTGATGTGAGAGAGACACATCAATTGGTTGCCTCCCACATGCACCACAGGCCAGCAGGGGGGCATTTGGGGGTGATGAGGCTGGCGGGGGGGGGGAGGCATTTGGGGGCAAGCAGGCTGGAAGGCAGAGTGGTTAGGGGCAATCAGGTAGGTAACCAGGGCTGGGGATTGAACCTGCAACCCAGGTACATGCCCTTAATTGGGAATCAAACACAAGACCTTTTAGTGAGTAGGCCAATGCTCTAACCACTGAGAACACTAGCCAGAACAGGAGAATATACTTTTTTTTTTGTGGAAAACATTTTATTTATATGGAAAAGCTACATTAAGATCTGTAAAAGGTGTCATAATATTGCCTATACAGAAAAAAATTCAAATGTGAATAACAACAAATAAAAGTTATACATCTTCCTACTTAGCAGTGCAATTCACATTGCAATAAAGTTAAGTCAGGTATAACAAAATCAAAACAAGTGTTTCTCCATAATCAGTAAACTGAGAATTACAGTGTAAAGATCATTCAGGTTTAAGAAATCCGCAATTGATCTACACAGAAAACCCTAAGACAAGGGAGACAGACAGTTAATTCATTTAATTATCAGCTATTCAGTTTTTTTCAATACTGTTCACAGGAAAAAAATTAATGAGTTGACATACATGTAGGTAGAATATATTTAGTCTATACAGTAAAAAAATACAAATTGTAAAGTGAGCTAACAAAGAATGAAATCTGAATCTATACTAATATAAGGGTAATATGCTAATTAGACTGGGAGACCTTGCAGGAGACCTTCCGGACGTTCTTCTGGACAAAGCCATGGTGGCGGGGCCGAGGTAGAGGCGGTTAGAGGCCAAGAGGGGAGGCCAGTTGTGGGTGATCAGGCTGGTGGGGGGCGGGGCCATTGGGGGTAAGCAGACAAGCAGGGGGGCCAGTTGGGGGCAAGCAGGCCATCAGTTGGGGTCAGTTGGAGGTGATCAGGACAGTTGGGGGCAGTTTGGAGTGAGCAGGCCAGCAGGGGAGCAGTTGGGGATGATCAGGCTGGCGGGGGGTCATTTGGGGGCAAGCAGGCTGGAAGGCAGAGTGGTTAGGGGCAATCAGGTAGGCAGGCAGGCAGGTGAGCAGTTAGGAGCCAGCAGTCCCAGATTGCGAGAGGGATATCTGACTGCCGGTTTAGGCCCGATCCCTGTAAACTGGCAATAGGATATCCTTCGAGTGGTCCCAGATTGGAGAGGTTGCAGGCCGGGCTGAGGAACACCCCCTCCCCCTGCACAAATTTCGTGCATTGGGCCACTAGTAGATTTATAAAACGACACATAACATACAGTATTTCTCATGTAAAAACACATAATTTCAGCAAAAAATAATTCGGTTACTTTTCAGATGGTTTGTAGATCTTGTAAGCTGAAGATGCAGATGTCCAAGTATCTTAAAGTCCATAATAAATGCCTTTCTCAATGCATACAAAATGATAAATGCTCTCATCACAGTCTTTTTTTTTTTAAGTATATTTTATTGATTTTTTACAGAGAGGAAGGGAGAGGGATAGAGAGTTAGAAACATCGATGAGAGAGAAACATCGATCAGCCACCTCCTGCACACTCCCCACTGGGGATGTGCCCACAACCAAGGTACATGCCCTTGACTGGAATTGAACCTGGGACCCTTGAGTCCGCAGGCTGATGCTCTCTATCTACTGAGCCAAACCAGTCAGGGCACTCATCACAGTCTTAAGGGTATTTTTGGAAGTTTGTTTTGTCTTGCTTCAGAAATACATTTAAAAATGGATAAAAATCAAAGGATTTCATGATACGATGAAACAAAAAACAGTGCTCAATTTACTGCTAATATTGAAAAAAACAGATTTTACAGTACTCTGGTATATATGAATTTTTTTATTTTACATTGCATATTTCTGAGTCCATTCTCTTGCGTGTGTGTTGTATTTTTCTTTGTTTTATAGATTTGTGCAATATCTGGTACTAAGGGGTCATCTGAATTAGGATCACAAAGTAGAGAACATATGGACAATAAAACTTTTGTACAGTCAGAGCTGATGACCATTGTGACCTCAGGATATCAAGACAAATACTTCCATTACTGTTTATGTTTAGATGATACATTTTTGTTGTGAAAGCAGTCTTTGGTGGTTTAAAAGGATAGTCTGTCGGAAAATGTACAGTGAGAAACAAGACTCCGCCATGCTATGCACTATCAGGAGGCCCCATAACAGTTGCTTGCCAGTGGAACAAGTGGTCTCCCACAGTTCGGGGGAGCAGTGAGCAGGTGGGTCACGCTATAGATCATTTAATTCTTTCTGAATCCACTTAAGCGCCATGGGTCAGGGAGGACAGTGGGGACACCCACCGGCGGGGGTGGCTACAGGACTGAGAGGGTGGGGCGTGGGTTGCCGCTGGTTGGCTTGCTCTGGGCGCCTGTGCCAGTTCTGTGTGTGTCTGAGCGAGTGTGCAGGTGGGGACACAGGCGAGACTCTTGTTTCCGCTTTTTCAATAATAGAATTTTTGAAAATAAATTTAAAATAAGTTCTGGAGCCTGGCTGGCGTGGCTCAGTGGTTGAGCACCAACCTAAGAATCAGAAGGTCACTGTTCGATTCCGGTCACTGCACGTGCCCAGGTTTCGGGCTCGGTCCCCAGTGTGGGGTGTTGGGAGGCCAATTGATGATTCTGTCTCATCGATGTTTCTATCTCTCTCTCCCTCTCCCTCCTTCTCTCTGAAAACATAAAAAATATAATAAAGGAAGTCCTGGAAAAGAAAAGGAAATACACCCAAAGCATTCTGTTCTCCGTAACATGGCCTGCCCTCAGGAGAAACTATTTAACCAGAGTCTAACTGACCTGGGGAAGGGAGATACCCAACTCAGCCTACTGCAGCCTTTCCTGTGGGGGAAGGGAGATACCCACGTCCAGAGCCTTTAGCCTTTCTGCCTCAGCTAAGGCGAGTGTGGTGGGAGATGGGTACCCAGCAATTAGGAAACACCAGTGAACAGCAAAGCCCTGGGGCAGAGGCTCACTGAAGACTGACATCTAGTCATTGGACTATAGAATGCTTCCCGTCCCCATCCCCTACTGCCACCTCAGTCAGGCCCCTGCATAATAACGGGATTACAACAGAAAGAACTGCACACCTCAGACCTTATTTGAAAAGTCTCTAGGGAAATACAAAGCAGAGGAGACAAAAACCAGGTCACAGAAGAAATTTTAGCCTCTAACACCTATAGCTGCAGTAAACGGTAAACACAGCCTCACTCCAAGCCAGATAAACATAAAGCCTCATACGAAAGGCCTACTTACCTCAGTTCCTTTTACATAGTGGCATTCGTAAAACTACAAGGCATACTAAAAGATAGCACGGCTTGGACAGAGGAAATATCAGCACCAGATTTAGACATGGCAAAGATGTTGGAATTACCAGACTAGGAATTTGAAACAACTGACATATGCTAAGGGCTCTAATTGAAAAAGTGGACAAGATGCCAGACTAGATGGGTAATGTAAGCAGAGAGATGGAAACTCTAAGGAACAACCAAAAGGAAATGCTAGCCTAGCTGGTTTGGCTCAGTGGATAGAGCATCAGCCTGCAGACTGAAGGGTCCCAGGTTTGATTCCGGTCAAGGGCACATGCCGGGCTGCCGGCTCTATCCCCAGTAGGGGGTGTGTGTGCAGGAGACAGCTGATCGATGATTCTCTTATCACTGATGTTTCTGTCTCTCCCTCTCCCTTCCTCTCTGAAATCAATAAAAATATATTTTTTTAAAAAAACAAAAAAAGGAAATGCTAGAAATAAAAAACACTGTAGGTCTTTCCTAAAAACGAAGGAGAATAATGCTCACTTTGGGAAACTGGAAAATGCCTGTACTCACTGTTTGCAGTGACTCTCTAATGTTTTAAACTTTTTCATTTTGCAAGACTGAAACTCGGTATCCATTAAACAACTCCTTATTCCCCCCTCCCACACACACCCCAGACATGGAATTGCTGTGTCATATCATAACACCCCTGGTAACCACTATGCTGCTATCTATGAAATTGACTACTTTAGATACCTCATATAAGTAAAATCATACAGTATTTGTTTTGTTTTGTTTGTGACTGGCCTATTTCACTTAGCATAATCTCAAGTTTCATCCATGTTGTAGCATGTGACAGCATTCCTTCTTTAAAAAAAATAGTTTTTATTTATTTCAGAGAGGAAGGGAGAGGGAGAGAGAGACAGAAACATCAATGATGAGAGAGAATCACTGATCAGCTGCCTTCTGCACCTACCCGCACCCCCACTGGAGATCAAGCCTGCAACCTGGTATGTGCTCCAACTAGGAATCAAACTGGGACCTCCTGGTTCATAAGTCGAAACTCAACCACTGAGCAGCGGCCAGGCCCTTCGTTTTTTAAAACTAATATCCTATATAATAAAAGCATAATATGCCAATCGACCGAATGGCAGAATGACCTGTCACTCTGACACGCACTAACCACCAGGGAGCAGACACTCAACTTAGGAGCTGCCTCCTGGTGGTCAGTGCGTTCCCACAGGGGGAGCACCACTGAGCCAGAAGCTGGGCTCATAGCTGGCAAGAGCAGCAGCG